TTTACCTATAATCCGTTGGCGCAGTCAAAACATTTTTAGACCACCGTTTCTGAGATTTGACCCAATGTTGGTATTTTCTAAATACACCCTGTATATCTGAACGTACATTGTTTTACATTCTTTTTCCTGATTACATTGATACGTGTATTACAGCCTAATTTTTTTCTAAATTTTATCGCTGTTTCAGAAGCCACATTGGCATATAAATGATACATTACAATTCTATAAGGTGCCCCAACGAAAATGTGTACACCCTCCCTAAAAATAAAAAAAACCGGTCGATTTTTATATCGAAGGAGGCAAAAATAATGTTTGCAACATTAACCCTATGCTAGAGGTAGCAACCCCCCATGTGCGCAATGCCGTTATCAGATACTTCCACAATAAGTACCCATAATGGACATTTAATTTTGAACCGTAATAACCACCTGCAACAATAATGAACCTTTCTTTATTACTTTGTTAAACAACAACGTATTGTATTATTTCAGCGATTATTAAAGCCACAAAAACAACAACATTCAAAACAAATCATGAACTTATGAGACAGGCCCCCTCCTCCGTCTTTCTTTTTTATCGCATTTTTGCAAATTTATTTGTAAAAAGTAGCTTTTAATCTCACTTTGGCTGGCTGGCTGGCTGCAAATGTGGGCGCGTAGAAGAACTCTTGTAGAAAGGCAACGGGTGTACGTGAATCTACAAAGCCGTGAAATTTGTCAACCTTAGGGACATGGCTACATGATGTGGGGTTGGCAACATCTGGGCGTCTTCCTCGAGCGTAGTATACTAACGTGAAGGTTTTTCAGTTTTTTCCTATCTTCTACTACAGTTTTGGTCCGATTCTTTTCAAATTGGTGTCGTCGGAAAGATGTTGTAAACGCGCACAACTCCTGCGTGGCGGAATTTTTTTTGTCCTAGGGGCGAAATTAACGACCTTTTGCGAGGCGCGCGCGCGCGTCTTCGAGAAGTAGTCAACTACGGGCGCCTTTTACCTTCCGTTGCGAACTCACGCGGTTTAACGTTTCGTAAATCTCGAATCGCTGTCTCTCTTTCTTGTGTCGCCAATAGAAGCGAATTGCGGGTGAACGGGACATCGGAAGTGGCTACCGTCAAAGGGAATGTGGTAGCCCCCGACACGATTTTAACTTTAAAAGCGAATTGCGAGTGCACGCGGAAAGTGGGAAACGGTTAGTGAATGTAGTAGCCTTCGACAAGATCTGTTATTGATGGTTGAGTCGAGAGTGGCTAATAGAATACTGATCTGCCACACAACAATGCGCTGAAGTCCCTTCGATCTCACACGAGGACTTTGATAATTTTTTAAACTGAGCTTCTCCATTGAGCACATTCAATTCCCATACAAGAACAGCCCTTAACAATGCGATGCTCTACACCAGGTATGAGCAACCCAGGGCCCGCGGGCCTCGTCAGGCTCGCCGATAAGTTTTGTCCGGCCCGCTAACATAATTCATAGTTAATACTTAATACGGCCCACCAAATTACCTTAAAAATTAATTAATATAATTATGTTACACGTGCAACATCTAGTGGACGCGATCCAAAGCGTTCAAGACGTTTGAAAGCCTTTTTGAAGATGCATTTCTTGTTTCAGAAATATCGCAAGGTATTTTCCAGAATTTTCGTGGCGATATATACCGGGTGGGGCACTAAAACAACCCGTGTTTTGGGATTAGGCAACATTTTTAAGCGATATATTGCAACAAATCTTAAGAGCATACATGAAAATTTGGATGCAAGCTGAATATGGGGATTTATTATCCAAGTCTGGTAAATTTTGTATGCAAGATCGTGTCAATTTTCAGGAGTAGGTAAATGGTTTTTACGAAAGCAAAAAATAGGTCAAGACCAAAAAGTAAATAGATAATTATTGATTTCTTTAAACATACTTTTTATTTGAATTTTTAACTGTGACCCGTGGCGCATTTGAAAAATTTTATTTTGGCCCCTTGGAAGAAAAGGTTGCCCATGCCTGCTCTAAACTATCGTCCTTGCACTCTGTTCAGTTCTGTTTATAAACAATAAAAATCAAGTATAAATTGTGCACTACTCTTGTGCAGACAAAGCGCATTTTTTTCACGAATGGATATATTTCTTGCAGACGGCTCAATCGCCCTTTGTGAGTACTCTCTTCCGACAATCCGTTCTTGAGGTATAAGGGAATATACCCGATCACGATCAGAGGTCGAGGAGGAGTGCTATGGTTGGTAGAAATTAATTCCTTTCGTTGAGACCTTTCATTAGAGTACCATGAATGATAGAACTAGTTTTACTCCCCCCCCCCTCCACCCCGTACTTTGATAAGAGGACAGAAGAAAGAAGAAAGAAAAGAAGGGCAGTAGTTGGTAGAAAACGGTTCCTTTGGTTGAGACCTTTAAGTTTTACTTGGTCATGCGTATGCAAAATCTGAGACCAATTGGTTGTCGTATGTAAAAGCTATGCACGTTTTACTTTCAAAAACAGCATCTCGGGAAATAATTTGTAAGGGGCCCCCCTTTTAGATAGCGAAATTTGATGGACGTCTGGCACACCTTCAAAGTTATAGGCTACCTACTGCAAAAAAATCCAGGACTCTGGGACCATTCCCCTAGAAGTAGTTTAAAACGGTAGAAGTGGGTCCGGACGGACGGACAAAACGCAAACAATAGCACATTTTTTTTAATTCTTAAAAAATGCGCTAAAAATGTCCATTGACTGTAAGGTTTGTTTTCATTGTAGCCGAAGCATGACGATTTTTTGGTAGAGTTATCCGCTTAGGGTTCTTGGTGGAGCGATGCTAAGACCAAATTTTGTGGAAGCACGTTTCGGTGGCTTCCAAAGGGTCTGGGAGGCAGTATACTTTACACACAACCTTTTCCTCAATATTCTTTGTAATGTTCTTTATGGTTGTATATAAAAGTGTTAGAATCGCATTGGTTGTCACTTTATGATTTAAAAAAGCTCCTTTTTAACGATTCTTACGATATACTACTTGCTACAGGGTGTTAAACGACGAGTTAAGTGGACTAAATTGAATATAAGTAAACGTACAGGGCAGGGTACAGGGTGTTACATATAAGTATGTAAAAAAAATTGGCTAGTAGCGGAGTCGAAACAAGCATTTCTTCCAAATAAACCGAGGGTCCAACGTGTTTCGTTCGGGAGTTACCCTATAAAAAGAGCACTCCTAAATGGAGGTGTGAAAAATTCTGATTCGACGAAATACAGTTTTTAAACATGACAATTACGAATATGAAATTAATTTAATTTTAGTTTGAGGTTAATTCATAAGACACAAAGAAATAGAGGACACTTTCTCGTGGTATATTTTCTTTAATTTAAGAGCGCCATCGTGGTGCAAAAGGAAGAAATAGAGATGTATTACTACACGAATACAGTATTAAAAATACTTACCTGAAATCCAAAGTTTCAATAATTGAGGATGGTGCGACGAACTTTTCAAGCAAGCAAAATAGCTTATCAAAGAAAATTCAATTCTAATTTACAAGGCAATACGGGATAGCAAATGCAGGGAGCGAGATAATATCCCCCCCATAATTAATAAAGCGGAAAATAGCAAAAAGCTTAATGTAAAATCAGAAATTAAACGTCTGCATGCAAAATAAATTTAGGAAAAAGCTCACAATGTTCCGTTTACCGTTTAATTACGAAACGTAGTTTGCAAAGATACAAAAGGCAGAAAGCAAAATATTTTACGTTTCGGTTAAATGCCAAATGCAAAAACATTCCCTCTTAATTAAGCGTTTATCTTATATAAAATTCGGCTATGCCATGGAGGGAAGACGGTTTTTCCAATAGTCACATCCGAGAATTACAACTTCTTTAATTAATTACGTGCTTCGCAGACGTCTTAAAAATACGGGACCGGTGTCAAAATTCAGGTTTTTTAAGGGCACACCTAACGGATTCCATCTCGACTTCATCGAGGCTGTAACCCATTCAACTATTTTAAATTCGGCGGTCCAGCAATGCCCTTTTGTTGCTTGGACTGTGAGGTCAAGCGGCTTAATCTATTATCACGTTGATCTTTTCTTTAAACTGCACAAATTTGCCGTTTTAATGCTGGATTTCCGTATATCTTTAGACAACTAAAATCAAATAATGGGCAATTAACGGACCTAAAACTGATTCTCTCCCTTCTTCCCTGGCAAGAGAGCTTTCGGTGAGGCCTCTTATCGGGCGACTATACAAATTAACCCGCTCATTTCTGCCTTCATTTTCGGAACGACAATACATACCAAATTGTATTAGACATACTTATATAGAACTATAGATTTTTTTAAGTAATCGATATTCTGCTCAAAAGCTTTTCAGCTCTTCCTTTTATGTCTAAGAATATGTGTACCAAATTTAGTTCTAATCGGTTCAGACCAACAGATCGACAAACCGATCCACATCATCGATATTTTGTTTGATTCGGATTCCTAGTCCTTCAAAACGTGCATTTCCGTCTATTATACACCATGATTTCCTTAAAAAAAATGGGGGTTCATTTAACAGCTAGTGGTTTTTGAATCACCAATAGTTATCCGATTGTACTCAAATGACAATAAGAACGTGTGCTGCCATTTCAAATAGTTTGGGAAATAGCAGTATGCGCAATTTTAATTAAGATCCTGGTTTCCCAAATAAGGATTCCGCAGAATGCAACAATATGAAATATTACCAACGCCACGACCAAATCTTTTAAAAATCACCTCGAAGTTTTCAGGACTTTGTATACGAACCACATTACAATGAACGCATTGATTGATGCATCCTCTGTCAGGGATTTCAGGCTAGACGAATAATAACAAAGAAAATCTCTAACGTATGGTGTACAACACAATAAATTTAAATTAATCAAAATACTCGAGTTTTGATCGATTTGACAGAGGGTGCCTAATTTCGGGATCCCTTTTCATCATTCGTCGAATGGCCGTTGTTATTATCCAACGGCCATGAACAAAAGGACACATAATTAATGAGATCGTTTGTTTCAGGCGAGAACAGTCGTTTAGTGTACACAATCACGTCGGGAGATGAAAATAACGATTTTCGAATCGCCCCAAACGGCACAATCCTAACGAACAGGAATCTGGATAGAGAAACCCAAGGAATTTACAACCTTGTCGTTACTGCGACCGATCAAGCCGTTTTACCGCAACACCGCCTTTCTTCGACGGTACAGGTAAATATAAACGTTTAATAATTACTAATTATATGTTTGTAAAGGCAGTTTACTACTAAAACGTGCGAAATATATAAGAAGTACATGTGCTCGGTAGAGAGCTTTTGCATGTTTCAATAGTAATCGCCTCACATAATTAAGTAAACATCACCGAAGAGCTTTGGCAATGACTAAGCGATACCCGCATTTTTTCAATGCGTTCATTAGAAATATCAAAATAAATACAAACGTGGAGCATCTACACACGGTAACAGAAAAAATATGAAAAGACATTCCAGTATATACAATTAAGATGAAGATAAACATTCAAAGGTGCCAAGTTGTTGAAGAAGTTGGTTTACTTAAATTGGAGTGTTTACACAGAGGTCTGACTTAAGCACCTCTACACGTGCAGACGGACGGATGGGCAGGGTCCGCGTGCGTGCGTTTCACACAATCAATTTTCGTTTTGACCTCTCACGAGCGGGATTTAATTTTGATGTGAATTTCGGTAGCCTTGAAGGAATTTTTATTTAATAAAGTGACATGTTTATCCTCTAGTGATATTACGAAATTATACGTTTTATAGCAATTTTATGGCGGATATAAAATATAAATTATTAATCGTAAAGTCGCCATTGTTAGTGGAAAGTGTTGCGGGGAAAAAATTGATCGATAATAATTCCTTTTGTTAGTAGGTCCTTCAATTCGTGATTATTTATTGCAAGTTTTAAATGTTTAAAAACCGTTATATAGTTGTCTAAGCAAAAATATACTTAAATTATTGTACATCAGGATCGCGGCCATTTAAAACTCCCCAGGCCCACATCTGACCCGTACACATCAAATTGTAGGTATCTTCAAGCTCTTTAAATGTTGCGTGGTCGACCAAAAACGTCATGCGATGTAATTTATCGAAACCTATTTCGAGGACTTATACTGTACATAAACCGTTTACAGCTGTTTGATTCAGACTTTAATTAGCATTAATTTCATTTTACACATGGTATAAGGTGTGAACTTTTTTTTGGTTTTGTGTCTTTTTAATTTGGTCGCACTTAAAAATAATTGCCAAAAGTCGCCAATGGGGTGCACCTCGTATAACAGATGTAATTATGTTTATAAAGGAGACAATTTTAGACTTTTTTATATATTGAGGTGAACGAAATGATCATTTAGCAATTACTTCGTCTGCTGGTCCATGATGTATGGATGTTCCCCCAGATCTCAAAAACCATTGAGTTTTGATACTAATAATTCCCTTCATAAAATTGGGCGGCGAGGGGATGTTATTTCATTTGCAGTAAAAACTATACTATACCATCCATTGGCGTTCGTCAACTGGCGACTGATCCAATCTTTACTTTCCTTGTATTCTTTCTTACTATTACCGAAAATCGTCATGTACCTAATCTTAATTTTCATGCCTACTTTAGTCAGGAAAGTTTAGTTTCCATGACAGAGGCAGATCAGACTGCTTTCCCTGTCGCCTGTCACTTTACTGGCCGCACTTGTCACTTTACCGGCCGCACCTGTCACATTTCCAGCCGCACCTGTCACATTGCTAAACGTCTGTAATGACTCCTGTCATCACTGACAAATTGACATTAATCAAATGTTCTATATGAAAATTGAAATTTTGTATTAAAATACGATTTTGGGTAAAATTTAATACAAAACTCGTCAGTAAAATGACGTTACTTGACTCGGAAATTAAAGTACTCGACCCTAAAGGGGCCTCGTATTTCAATATTTCCTCGCCCGTAATGTGTCATTTTCCTGACTTTTATGTAAATTAACTAATAAAATAATTAACTATTACATTTTGCAAACGATTGTTCGATCTGCAATTGTAAATACTGCCGTTCTCTTCGTTAGAGTACTATAAGAAGTATGCTAAATCCTGACGTGTCTTGTATTTCACAAACATTGGCCCGTATGAATAAAAGTAAGCAAAATGCTTATACTTGCAAAATTCAAAGTAAATACTCGTAAGTGCTCCTTCGCACTGGGCGACTTAGCAGCTCTTCTAAGCAGAAGGACAGGAAGCAGTGCAGTGCTGCTAAACCATGCTAAACAGACCAGTATGAAGGGGCAGTTACGAGTAGAAGTTTGTAAGTATAAGCATTTGCTTACTTTTATTCATACGGGCCATTAAAAGAATTTCCTTCATTTTTGTCCAACTTCCTAAAAATTTGCTGTTGCATTCCATGGCGCTTATTTCAATTTTCCGATACAGACCATTTTCAGAACTTTAACGAGTTTTCCTGAGCTTTCAAAGGGTTAGTCCCTACCGTACTACCGTATGTACAACATATTTAGGAACACCCTATATAATATTTTCTTGATGCAAATTGGTCTTTAAAAACATCTAATTTTATTACTGAAAACCTCCTTACGTATTATTTAAGATCTCAGTTACGCAAGATCTTCTGATACAGCTTTCTCCTTTTTTATCGGCCTTACAGACAACTGGAGCTATAAAATTTATTAGAAAACGCTTTCTTTTCTTCATATAAATTTTTCATTAAGAAATATGTGTATCAGGATCGCAGAAAGCCAAAAATTTATTACATCTTTTAATGATTTCGTATCAGGACATTAGAAACATAATTTTATTACTAACAATCTCCTTACCTGGTACCTATATTCTTCCGATTTCTGTTATAAAACTTGTAGTATTAGGATCGCAGTTAGGAAATGTTCTCCAGGTCTAGCGTTCTCCTCTAAAAATGTTACCGGAATTACAGACAAAATCGGAGGTATGAAGTTTATTCGAAAACATTTTTCTCTTCTCTTCATATAAATTTTTAATTTAAAAATATTTGTATCAGGATTGCAAAAATGAAAGGTGTTTTAAAGCCAACATTCTCTTACGTATTATAACGTCATGGTTTACAAGAAATTATTTCAAACAAAATTACAAGATTGTCGGAAATAATGTAAAATTCAAAAACTATTGTATGACCATCACAAAAATGCCCAAGGGTGTAAAATTTATTCGCACACTATTTTGTATAGTCGCTTGGCACACATTCCCCCTTTGAGAGTGGACCTTGTTTCGTAGTTGGTTTCCTGATGAAATATTTGAAATATTTTTCCATCAGGATCTCAGAAAATGTACTAAAAACCTCCACACGTGTTATGTTATCTTGGTGCCAAAAATTTTTTTTTAAATATTTTATGAGGATCGCAGAAATGCAAGAAGCGCTGATTACATGAGATATTAACTATTAGAATTATTCTGTACATCAAAGCACCGAATGCAGTCAGTCGTGCTGAATGAGAGCGCCGGACGAATAGCCACCGCATCAGGTTATTAAGCGGCAGATCAAAGCGATACAAGCTTTAAGGTGTCTCTGTCCATCTGTTCGTCTGCCCGTGAACACGATAACTTCTAAACGCTTGGGCCGATTCGGTTCAAACTTTGCACATTGAACCTATATCCCGCATGTAACAAGCCTATTGAAAGTAGGTCAAATCCAATGACTCCGTAGGGTCACACCGAAGTGCTCTGCCGCTTTTAGACCGGTTTTAGGGGTTTATTGATTTTAACCCTGCCATCTTCACGACGTCTGTGTTTCTTATCCTAGATGGTAAAACATTATAAATCTAATTCTAGCATTGAAATAAAAGACTAAGGAAGGAGCTTATGTGTTATTAGCAAGGATCCTATTAGGCTTCTCAATATGACGGACGTTCATACGCGCAGTGTCGTACATACATTTAATATATTTATTTTTTGCGAGTAGTACTGAAATTACATACAGTTTTACTGGCGTTTTAGTATTTTATTTCAACGAATCCTAACGACGTATAGCAGAGCTGGGACGAATCCCCCAAAAAATAATTCGAATCACGAATCCGAATCATCAATAATGGATTCGAATCACAGATACTTTGATTCGGATCCTTTACCGCTTGCGACATGATTTGAATCCTAGTATTCGAATCATTTTTCGGATCACGGATCAAAGATTAACAAAAAAATAAAACCACAGAATTTTAAAGAGTATTTGGAGTTTACCTGTCTTAGAATCCTACAAAACAAAGACGGGTAGTTATAAAAATCATCACTGGAGTCATAGGTTCTCAATTTCCTGTGTTCTGTTCTTATACTCTGTAAGTCTATAACTCTGTACGTACTATAATTATTAAGTATCATAAAGTAAAGTCCGAGAATATTAAGTAAAAACAAGAATAATGAATATGAAGTTTATTTAACTTTAAAATAGATAACCAAATAAGCATTATGCTAAACTAAAAATAAAATCAACAAAAAAATATTTATTTGCTATTTGCCTTAGACAAAACTAATATTTCAAAATTCTCGGTGATTCGGATGCATACATTGAGGATTGGAATACGAATCCTTTCTGATAAATGCAACGAATCCGGATCACGGATCCTTTTATTTTAAAGTATTCGGATTCCACTTCCGAATCACCGAAAATGATTCGAATCCAGGATTCGATTCCTAAGTGATTCGAATCCTCCCCAGCTCTGCGACGTAGTAACAGCAACCACGTCCGTCGTACCTATTTAACACTATTTCAACGAAGCATCATTGTTGGTACGAAAATAGTAATAACTAGTAGGGTGACGTATCGATAAAGGTGTGAATATGTTATCGTACCTAAGACTTTTTCAAAATGATGTCACAGTTTTAACTAAAATGTGCTTTAAGAATACAACGCCATTATTTTAAGTAAACCACCTTCTGCAGGTTATCCACGTAATGATAGTCTGATCTGAAGGAACTAAAACAGCTTGAACCTTCTATGTAAGACATCTAAAGATCTGCTGTTTAAGTGCTTTACAATGTACTTTTCGCCATTGTTCGTTTAATAAAGTGGAATATGCAATAAAACAACCTCCTTTAAATTCCAAACGACACTCGCGCTAAATCAACCTTATTTGCCATTATGATTTGATTTTTGCCTAGTTTTATCGCATAAGGTGAAAGATGCGCGCCATAAAGGCAAGTTTATATAACCGCTAACGTACCAAACCGTAAACTTACATTGTCTATTTCTCACTTAAAGGTCGCCATTACCCTGAAAGATGTAAACGATATGTCGCCGGAATTTATTACGCCAAATGATACATCAGTCGCTGAAAACATACCGATAAACACGGTAGTGATGGCCATAAAAGCGATCGACAAGGATGAAGGCCGTAATGGTTACATTGAGTATTCGCTATCGAATGATCTGTCTTTAAATGGAGTGTTCTCTTTGGGCCCAGTCGACGGCCTGCTTCGAGTTTCCGGAAGGATCGACAGGGAGTTCAAGAATAATTACACCTTGCAGGTGACGGCGCGCGACCGCGGCGATCCACCGAGAAGCACGCGGACCGAAATTTTTGTCAAAATTTTGGACGAGAACGATAACAGTCCCGTTTTCGATCCGAAGCAGTACAGCGCCTCGATCGCCGAAAACGCTTCGATCGGTGCAAGCGTGCTTCAGGTAAGTAACCACCCCAAAAACCCCCAGGTCGATTGCAATTTAATATCGTTGCAGGTTTCGGCGACGGACATCGATGACGGATTAAACGGGAGGGTGCGTTACTCGATTAGTGCCGGCGATACGAATCGCGACTTTAGCATAGCGGAAGATACGGGCGTGGTGCGCGTCGCGAAAAATTTAAATTACGAGCGAAAATCGCGATACGTCTTAACGGTGATCGCAGAAGATTGTGCGGGAGATATAACAGGTGATATTGTGCGAACCGATTCCGCGGAAATATCCATCTCGGTATCGGACATCAATGACAATCCGCCGACGTTTCTGGATTCGCCTTATTTGGCTTACGTGATGGAGAACGTCATTCCGCCTAACGGTGGTTACGTAATTACAGTGCAAGCTTACGATGCCGACACACCACCTTTTAATTCCTTAGTGAAATACTTCATTAAGGAGGGCGATACGGATGTATTTCGTATTAATGCTTCCACTGGCGAAATTTCGCTTGTAAGGGCTTTGGATCGGGAAATTCAAGCGGAGTACACCCTGTCTCTTGTTGCAATGGATACAGGTAAGATCTTTTTGCATTCACACATACATTTTTACTCAAAATGGAACACTTCATTATTTGCACCATGTGATCCTAAATGATGGATGGTGGTGCTAGCATAAACACACTGTTGTTAATTTTTACAGACGTCAGTTTTACGATTTCGGCCTACAACAACATTTTTGAAAGATAAAATAAGCTATAACGCCATTTTTGCTAGCAAAACAAGGAAATATACAAATTCTAAGATGCTTGATAGTACAGAAGTACGATCCCTAAAAGGGTCGTAATTTTTTTTCTACATCTTGTGGGAAATCTTCAATGTACTACTTTAAAAATCAAATTTTTAGTTTCAACATTTTAAATTTTTTAGTATACAATTCTAGTAACAAAAATTCAAGACTGTCAGACTTTTAATCCGGCTCATATTCAAAAGCACTGATCCTTGAACTCATAGAAATCGATTGGCGAAGGTTTGACATCGCTATCGCTTTTCATTCTCGAGTTAGACGAGGAACTGACGGAGAGACGGACAAAACCAACACATAAAGGGAATTTTTTTCTTTTGAAACATCCCCTAAAGACCAATTAAAAAACAAGTTGTTCGGCATTTGCTTTGCCGGAAATTTTTCTTTAAAGCGGTTCGAAATTTTAGTCCTAAAATCCGCAATCGAATCTGAAACCTGATAGGATCGTTCAAATTTGGAGTTCGACTTGTATCATTGAATAAGTAATTCCTTATATTCAATGCGCATATCCAAGTTTTAAAAATGTTCCCGAAACAATAACACAAATATAAACAAAAAAATTGTAGCCCCCTAAAGAAGATCTAAAATAATCGAGATTGTAAAATTTTGAGGAATAAATCGAAATTGTTAGATATATCGAAGCTTTGAGATAACAGATAAATAGATAAATACTGTATTGACGCCTTTTGGCAAATGGTATTTTACATTATTAGCCAGGTAAGTGAGTTTTTACTGGCGATAGGAGAAGTTGACTGGCGAGCCGTTAGGCGAGCCTGTCATCTCCCAGAGCCAGTAAAAACTATTACCTGGCGTATAATGTACAATATTTTATTTGTTACTCATTTGTAAACAATAGTAAACGTAAATAATTAGTCTTTAAATTGATCTCGAAAAAATGTCTAAAATATGTTATCCATGTAACAGAGACTTCGCATTAATTCTGGCCAATGAAATTACTAGATTACTAACTTGTAAAATTTTTACAGGTCAGCTGTCAGTTTTACAAGTAAGTAGCGTTTAAACATGACGTTTACCCGTTTCCGTTTTGTCTTGTTAATCAACGTTTACAACTGAGTAACAAATAAAAGCTTTTACATAAATGTATATCATATGTTTTGCGTCTCTTCCCTTCTTATCCTCTTTATCAATTTTTCTCCTCTTCTCCCCTCATCCAGTATTTCTTTCCTGCTTTCCCTTGTTCTAGAAACCTCTTTACATTTGCATATCAGATGGTCAGTATTTTCCTCTTTCTGTCTACATTTCTTCTTGTCCCCACTTCTACTTTTTTTCTCTCCTCGTTCCACACCTGAACTTCGCTATTAGTTTGATGTTTTTCTTCCTTCCCTGACACATTTATTAGCTAATTGTACCTTCTGTTTCCTCATGAATTCTCGATTTTCTTTCTCTGTTGCTGCACTTACTCTATATGTTGATCCCTTCCATGCTGTCGCATATTTCTCTCCTCCTTTCACCCTCTGCCCTTCCGTATCAGTTTCTTTCATTTTCGCACCATATTCTTTTTGTGTTAATCCTTGTTGACAAACATTCTTTCACCAATTCACTTTCTTTCCTTGCGTCGCGGTTTTGGTGTCCTTCCGTTTAGTACGCATTTGTAATACTTTCTTTGTATTCCTTTTGGTTCATCCCATTCTTTCCAGCCCCACATCTTCGTCCCAATCATAAACATCCCTCTCGCAATTGCACCAAAAAAGGTCTTTTCTTATTCTGAACTTTTTTGAATTTCCTCTATCCTATTCCCCACGCATCGCCATTTTTCCCTTTTTTTAATTCCCATATTTGTGCGTTGGCCACATTATTTCGTTGCATCTGGTATCGTCAATATTTAAATCCTTTTACTTTCTATATTTTTTCCTGCCTCTACTTTTACATCCTTTTTCCGTCTTTCTCCCTTCCCAAATATCATCGCCGATTTTTCTACATTTAATTCCATTCCTTTTTTTCTCAGTATCTCTCCATTATTCCCATTATTTCCTTCATCGGTGGTTTGTTGCCATTATTAGTGTGTCGTCAGCATATATACCATCCTTTTTTCCACTACGTTTCCTCCACTTTGATTTTGTCTGAATATTTTCTCCGTATCTAATCATTAAATAAGATTGGGCTAAGTGGTTTATTGTCCAGAACCTTCTTCTATTCTTACCCTACTTCTTGTCTATTCTTCTTTTTTAATTATTTTCTATTTTTCCATCATTTTCTATACTTTTTCCCTTTCTACTCTGTCAAACGCTACCTTTAAACCCACGAAATCTTTTTCAGCCAACCTGCGTGCTACATATAAAGAATCGATCGTTCCCTAGATCGTTCCTCTCCCTCTTCTGAATCGCTTTTGTGTTCATTGCATATATTCTATCATTATCTTAATTTCCCTTTAATTTTCCATACCGTTTTTGTCACCTCTTTTGTAAATTGGCACTTAATACCCCTTCCTTTCCGGTATACCTCCTTCTGTCCATATCTAGTTTATTAATTTCCCCAGCTTCTCTCCATCCATCCATGCCTCATTTATTACCCCTCCCGATTTCACTCTTCTCAGCCTCTTTAATTGCCGCTTCTCTTTATACCTCGTCTCCTTCCACCCCCCCTCTTCTCCTATCACACTCTTTTTTATCCTGCTTTCCTTGCAGTACCTTAATAGAGTTTCCATTCCTTTATTTGTATTTCTCTCCCGCATATTATGTTTTTCCTTTTTTTGTTTATGATCTCCCAAAAGTCCTTCTCTGTTTTTATTTCCATGATTTCTTCTTCGTATCTTTCTTTTGTATTTTTTTTCCACGGTGTCAACTCATTCTCTATCTCTCCTTTTTTTCCTTTTTCCATAATTGTTCTGTATCTGTTTCTCTTTTCTGTATCCACCTTTCCTTCCTTTTGTCTCTGTCATTTACCCGTTTCAATGTTATTGCTTTTTTAATACTTTCCTTCATATTTTTCCACTCCTCCTTTGTGATCTCTCGTATTTCTTCTACCTGCTTCTCTAGTCTCATTCTATGAGTCTCCACAGTGTCTTGTGTCCATATCTGTATATCTCTTCGTCTTTTTATATTTACATTTTTTGATCTTTTTAAAATCAAAAAATGTTATTTTCGAAAATACGTGCGCGTTTATTTATTTGCAAAGATTTCAAAAAATATATTAGTAATTTTTTCTCAGCTTTCTGATGGTGCTAAAATAAAATGTTTAGCATTTGTGAGTTTCGAGTAAATCACATCCTATTTCTTATAGAAGCCATATTGGATTTTTACGTCATTCGATAGAGAAAAAAATTACAAAATCAGCGATACTAACGGCCGGTTGCAGGAAAGCGAATTATAATCAAAATCCTACATTATTTGCCAAATCTGAGTTTAAATAAAAATTTTGACATTTGATTGGCTGCCTACTGCAATATAAAGCCAATCAAATGTTTTAATACCGGATTAAACAATAATCCTGGATTTTTTTTTTGTGCAACTGACCGTTAGTATTTCATTTGGGAATCTTGCATTTTTACCTCAAAGTTTACAATGTATTTCTTATGGCAATAATTCCATGACTGATTGTGCTTGAAACTAAATGCATTCGGTTATTGGGCCGTATGAATAAAAGTAAGCAAATGCTTATACTTGCAAAATTCAAAGTAAATACTCGTAAGTGCTCCTTCGCACTGGGCGACTTAGCAGCGCTTCTAAGCAGAAGGACAGGACGCAGTGCAGCGCTGCTAAACCATGCTAAACAGACCAGGAGGAAGGGGCAGTTACGAGTATTTACTTTGAATTTTGCAAGTATAAGCATTTGCTTACTTTTATTCATACGGCCCATTGTCTCGCATATTCACCATCGACACGGCCAATTGTAACATAACTGAACACATAGAGACCGAATCCGGAAGTGCTGCAGCCTGTACCCTGGAACGATCATGGCAGACCAAATTAAGCATTGTCCCTTTGCTGCCCATTAAACCTATTTAGACCTTGATTCACTCCGTACTTCCGTCCCTTTTCCGGTGTCTCTCCACGAGGAATGATTTCGTCTCTTGCAAATTCTACACCCATCTGTCTTAGAGCTATTTGCCATACGTTTATATCCTAAATAATTGTAACAAAGCCGATTATTTGTTACGAAATCTCTTTTATGAGCCTCTACGAGATCCCCTAAACCTGCAAGAGCATTGTAGTTTTGTCTTTTAATATACAATCCCTCAAGGATGGTGAATCATCCCTTAAAAATTGTGCTTAATTTATTATCTTAATTTGACTCCGTAATTTGTAGGTCCTTTATCACTAACAGTGGTTCATCCTTTAAAACTGACTTTTGGATTTACACTCACAATTAAAAAGAGTCAAATAACTTTATAAAAGAGTTATACTCTTCGTATTTATCAGAAAAAAGTTGGTATACCTATTGATACTCGGAAGTTTGACCTTAGAAGACAGAGCTTCTGAAGACCCTGAACTATATCCGCCAAATTATTGACTACCCGCCATCTTTGATGTTCTGAATTTAATCATGTAGAAATTGTAGTTTAGGTTTGCTTTGTAATGAATTAATGATGCATATTCTAATTCGCCCTCCTGGCTATCATCTATTTCCTCTAATTCACCCTGAATGTACCTACTCATATTCTTCGTACGCTTTAACTGACATAGTTTGCCTAATTACAAATTACTGTCAATCAATAAATTGTCATCATTTGCCTTTACAAAATGTTCAATTCTAGTAATTTTCCCTTTAATGCTGTACCTCGCTTGTGCACCATAGTATCCCTATCTGTCATGT